AAGATGCGCGTCGCTGGGGAGAAGACCCAGGCGCTTGTTCTGTCCCAGTGGGCCCGCGACGCATCGAGGCTCTCCATCCGGGTCGCCGGAGCGGAGGTCACCGGTGGTACCACACTGCGTCTCCTGGGCGTCTCTTTCGACCGGCTGCTACACTTTGGAGCCCACTGCAACGAACTACGTAAGAAGGTGCGCCCCCGTACGGCCCACCTCCGTCGCATGACCGGTAGGAGCTGGGGCCTGACCGAGCGGCAGCTGAGAACTGTCGCTAACGGCTACGTACGGGGTGCACTAGAGTATGCGGCGGGTGCGTGGCTGCCTGCTGCATCGGAGAGCCACCTCACTCTGATCGACAGGGAGCTGAGAGCTGCCGCCAGGGTGGTGACGGGCTGCCTAGCGTCGACCCCGTCACACGCTCTGATGGCGGAGGCGGGCCTTCCCACTGCACACATGTGCCGCGACATCAGAGCGGCGCGCCAGCTAGCTCTGGCGGCCTCGCTGCCTGCAGGAGACCCGCTCAGAACCCTGGCTGACTCGTCGCCACCAAGACGTCTCGCGGCGACCCTCGGCTGGCGAGACAGAGGCCGTGAGATGTTCGCCCGCCTGTCGCCGGGGGGCGTGCCCCTCATCATCGAGGAGCGGCTCCATGTCTCCGCCCCGCCATGGCAGGACGGTGGAGAGGTGTCCTTCCACCTGGATGTGGGCCCCGACGGCTCCAGGGACCGCCCGCCGGAGCTGAGAAGAAGGGCGGCGGAGGAGCGGTTGGAGTCGTTCCCGGCGGACGCCACCTGGATCTGGTCGGATGGCTCTGCCGAGGAAGGAGTGCACCGCGGTGGAGGAGGAGCGCTGATCGTGACCCACGACGGTGCCACAAGAGAGGTCCGAGTCGCTGCTGGCCGCCTCTGCTCAAGTACGCGAGCAGAGCTGTTCGCGCTGAGGGCCGCGCTGGAAGATCTGACCTCGACACCAGACCGGGATACGGCGCGCCCGATCATCATTTGCCTTGACTCAAAAGCGGCACTGGCTCTCCTCAAGAACGGCCCAGCGGCCCAGCGGACGCCGGTAGCAGCCGACATCTGGAAGGCGCTACAAGGCATCAGTGCGACCGGCCAGCCCATCCAGCTGCAGTGGGTGCCGGCGCACTGTGGGCTGCCGCTGAACGAAAGAGCGGACGGCCTCGCCAAGGAGGCCAGTGCCCTGCCACAAGAGGACACACCTATAGATGTCACCACAGTGACCAGAGCGGCCGCCCGCTCAGCTTCTGCAAGGTGGAGGGAGGCCTGGCCGGACGGGTGGCACAAGGAGATCTGGGGCTCCCGCCTGCCGGGCCCGGTGGAGGGCGAAGACCGCTGCTCTGCGATCGACGTCCACCAGCTCCGAGCCGGCCACTGGTCCTGCTCGGAGCAGTACCTTCACCGCATCGGCCGCCGACCGTCGCCTGGATGCGAGCAGTGCGGCTCCGTGAGGTGCCCGGCCGCGCTGTGCCGTGTGTGCCGAGAGGAGGCCGACACTCCGCGGCACGTCCTGCTGCGCTGCCCGGCGCTGGCGGGACGCCGCCTGGCACGAGTGGGCACAATCCACCCTACGGTGACCGAGCTACAGGACGACGGCGTGGTGGCGGCCTTGGCCGCCGGCTTTCGAGCCCAACTGAGCCGTCTGGCTACGCCCCCCTAGGGCGGGCCGGAGGGAGCAACAACAACAACAACAACAACAGCAAGAGCGGCGGGGAAGTCCCTTGCGCAATATTGCGTCACGTTTTGTCATCTTTATGCAGACGTGGCGCGGACTCTCGCTGGGGCTCGACTGTCCAGGAGACAAATGACGTCATGGAGTGTCAAGGTTTCGAGCTGTACAGCGCTGCATAGCAATTAGCAAATTATCTTTTTTATGCTCTATGAGAGTCCAAAGGTCAATATCAAACTGTAGAGGCTAAAATCCTCAAAGATAAATATTGGCGAAGACTGGCAGACACCCGCTCACCATCTCAACTCACTTGTTCCATAACCACTGACGTAATCTTTTCAAGGTCAACGATGTAAGCGAACGGATTATCTGTGATTATCATTCTACCTCCTATATTGATATACGTCCTTGGACAATCATACAATTTTGATGTTTGTTGGTGTTGAACTGCACTAGCATGCAGTTGCAGTTTGCACTAGAGTTTGACTAGAGTGTTGAAAGGCATGTGAGAGGGGTGTTGGTTGGGTGTTGGTGTGAACCTTGGTGTGAGCAATCTTATGTTGATGTGGTGTGTGTCGTGTGACATAGGTAGGGGAGACCCGGGAGGTATGGGCCGGTTTTGTGAAGACAATTTTCTTCCAGTGGGCAGTGGCTAGACCCGGTCTTTCACTCTGTCACAGATTGCAAAGTATGACACGCTGGTCGACGAGGCGCACCGGCCCAAGTTCAAAATCCGCACCAACCCTTCAAACTGAGCCGGAAAATCCGCACCATAGCGGGCCGAAAGCCCAAAAAATCCGCACCGAACCCACAGGCAATGATAATGCAAGGGACTTAATTCATCTACTATAATTATTTCCCGTCCAATTTCAGTTTCAATTACTGCTTGAGCAAAGCTCAGTTGCTCACCACGGGACTGCGCCGCGAACTTGTATCGGAAGTTTGAAACAGAGCAAATAGACAGACGCCGGTGAAAATAGGGCGCCTGAGGGCATATGGGTCACGTGACATTCGGAACTTCTCCCCCTCTGCGGGCCTTCTACATGCTAAATGCCACGTGTGAATTTCACGAGCCTTGATCAAATCGCCCCAACAAACTTTCATATGAGTAAAAACAATGATGTCATTCCAAAGTAGCACGCTGATTGGCAATCCAAACCAGCTGCTCGCAAATGTGACATATATAGCACACAATCACCAGTCACTCACCATCACAACCAGTCTTCGTTCTAATGACGTCGTCATCACTATAATTCCCAAGGCGAGAATGGATTTGTTGTGCCGCAATTGATAGTTCGTAGAGTAAATTTAAAACCTTGGTCCGCCATCACCGTGCGTCACCGTGGCTGGCACGCATTTGTAGGGCTTTCCAAAGAACAGTCAGGGAGCCCGGCAGGGAACCCGCCCGGGTAAGAAGACCAAGCGAAGTCCGCACCGCACCAAGGTCCAAGCCAAATCCACACCGCACCAGGCCAAATCTGCACCGCACCACTCCAAAATCCGCACCAGCCGAACAAGCCCGCACGGACGAGATCTCGTCGAAATTGCCATACTTTGCAGTCTGGACTAGTCTTTGCGATGGCAAAGACTAGTTAGGTTCATCTCTTGCTTGGGCAGCAGTTAATTTGTGGCGATATTGTGCCAATCAATGCCGCTGCCAGGACAATGCAGCTAACACCGGCATTGCAGTCTCAATTATGCCCTATGAGGCAAACTTCGAGGCCTTTGAGGCAGACGCAAACGTTTAGCTAGGAAGCTGAAATTTTGCATGCTTCTTATTGGGCCAATAAGCAATGGGAAAACACCAGGGGAGCTGGTCTTCCAAAAACTTTATAAAATTTGATGTCTGATAACAAGCTCTGCTAGTGCCATATATGGCGCCAGCTGGCGAATAATCCTCAATGATACGTCCTGTATTTTTTGGTGACAACTTCATTAATAGGCATGGTGAATAACAATATAAGTATTTTTACTGAAAGCTTCTAAATAGTCTTAATTTGATTTTGCTATTGCTTTTAGGGGCGTCAGCTAATGAAACCACAACAATAAAATTGCACATTAACCCTCGCCGGCCGAGGGGGGCATAGGGTTTTTTTTCGCGATAGCTCCGAACACGCCGGCGATGGAGAGCTGAAACTTGGCATACCTGACCTTTGATTCAAGCCGGATCTTTTGACACCAACCGCATTTTCGGGTCAGGTCAGGTCACTGACCTATGACGTCATAAGTGAACCTCTGCACGGTCTTCAGATGTCGCAACTTCGCAACGCCCTCTATTATCGGGGTTACATGAGCACAGTAAATACGTATTTAGCCGCTAATTCGAATTAGGAACGCATTACCGACTCATGTAGCCACCTGCTAGTACGAATCGGCGATCCGATCCGCGGTTACATGAGCAAAGCAAATACGTATCACGATCGGATTCACCGCTAATGCGAATCAGGAGCGTACTACCGACTCATGTATCCACCTGCTAATACGAATCGGCGGTCCGAACAAAATCCACTGGGAAAGAGGCTTAGAAGCGAATAGGACCAAGATACGTATTACAGGAACTATTTCTTCGCAAAAAGAAACATTAAAATGCAAAATAATAGGTATTTTTTTCATTTTCTTCTTTTGAAATAATATTTAAAAAAATATGTCGGTATTTTGTCAAGTTTTCAACAATAAATATAGTGAAAACCAAATAGTAAATATCCACATAATTTCAGTTGAAACATTTTTCTGACAGCACTACAGACGAATCAAGAGAGGCAATTGCCCAATGAGTCAAAGCAAGACAACTTTATGTTCAACTTTTTTTTGTCAAGTTAATTGATAATGTTTTTAGCAGATTAAATGCAAAAAAGACATAAGATAATAAATTTTTAATTTAGTCACCTCTATTGCTACGGAAGTGCGCCACATTTGTATGCTATTCCGTTTGTAATGCGCATCGGGCCGAGAGCCAAACTAGATCCGTTTGACGTCACTGATACGAATTTGCTCATGTAGTCGGTGCACTGAATGCGTTCTTGGGGAGCTGATACGAATTAGCGTAGTGCGCATTTGGAACGGATCGCTCATGTAACCGAAACGTCCGAGGCACACGATTCAGGCCGTATTTCACAAGAACTATTCTTTGCTGACTGGAAGCGTCAAAATGCAAAATACTAAGCATTTTTTTTATTGGCTGCCTCGTAGAAAATAGCAAAAAAATGTTGGTATTTTGGTTTAGTCTTTGCATGTGAAATAAAATGAATGAAATATTTTGATAGATAATTTTTTCTGACCACCCTGCTGTCGCTGCATGGCGAATCAGTGCCCACTGACTTAAAACAAGAAAACGTTGTTTTCATTTTTTGATTTCATGTTAATTCTAAATGTTTTTGAGCCTATCAAATGATATAAGTATTTAAAATTTAGCTCAGTCGTCCCGGTAAATGCCGCAACTGCGCCATGACTGTACGCTAATCCTATTCCGTTTGTGATGCGAATTACCGGCCGTCGAGGAGTCAGCCCGGGTGAGCCAAACAAGATCCGTTTGACGTAGATAAAACGAATTAGTCTCATGTAACCGGTGCCGTAGATCCGTTTGTGGGGAGCTGATGCGCATTAGCGTAGTGCGTATTTGGAACGGATCGCTCATGTAACCCCGGTAATTGCCAGAGGAGCTTTCACAGGGAAATAAAACTTGCAGGATCTAGTATCCATGACGAGTCTCACAACTTGTATATCTCGGATTTTTCCTGAAGTTCATATGAGGTCAGGTCATTTCCGTGACCTCACCATTATAAGTCAATGGGGAAAAATGAAAACTGCTATTCTGGTGCCGGGAACGATCTCCAACTATCTCAAGCACACAGAATCGTGATTTGATGCACTCATTCCAAGATGCGTCACTTTTGCAATGTTGACCTTGCGTTACGTCATTTATGACGTCATCAAGGTCATATTAGGTTTTCGTCAATAACTCCCGATCAAATTAAGTTAGCGAGTGGGGAAAGCTACCAATGGACTCAGGAAGACCTGCCGAATCGAATGATATGCGACATGACCTCTTTCGACCAACTTCGTGACCTGGGGGCGCTGACCTGACCGTGACCTGAAGTCTCAACACCCTAAGTTGACCTGACTCAAACAAAAAGTATATCATGCGACGCGCCTGAGCGAGGCAAACACGATGTTGCCAAAATCGCGGCTCTGCGGCCGTTTTTTGCGAAGCTATTCACCAAAAACTGAACCGTACCTTGGGGCACTTGACCTGACCTCAGAGGTCACCGGTTGACCTAGGACCTTAAAATCGGGTACCAATCTCTGCGTCTTGCACACGCTCGTTTTTTCCGCGACGCGCTAGCTCCACCAGGGGCGAAACAGCGAGGGGGTTCGTACCGCCCCCCCCCCTCTCGGCCGGCGCGTATGTAGAAAACCAATAGGTCCGGCGAGCACGCACAATGCCACCTTATTTAATACCAAGATCCAAGGCTCTAAAACTACAGGCTGGACAAAGTTGTTACCAAGGTCCAAGAGTTAACGGTATTCGTGTAGCAGGCATCTCACATCCCAAATCCAATGCTGCAACCCATTTGTGAAAAAAGTCACTAGGCCTTAGTCCCTGAACACAGATTTGGCTCATGTCAAACACTTTTTTTTCGATTGAATTTCACCCACAAATGTCCAAAACAAATTAAAAAATAAAATCAGAATAGTTTAACCTGACCTAACCTTACCTACTAACCTACAACCTACCAACATATAACCTCCTACCTCCAAACCCGCAACACATTACACAACCTACAAAAATACAACCTACAAAGTACAGTAGTAGTCAAGCAGGTGTTAGTGATGTCACACTTGTTTTTTTTTTTTTTTTTGCAACCAAGGAGAGGCGCTTTAGGTTAGGTTGTAGGTTTTAGGTTGAAGGCTGTAGGTAAGGTTAGGGTAGGTTTGGTTAGGACTAGGTTTGTAAGTGGTTAAGCGTTCTGAGGAATATCATCATGAGAAGTATGCGCATCTGGCTGACCTTATCCTCACTTCTGTATGGAAATATGAAATTGCCAGATCAGCGACAACAGAACAAGAAGAAGCAAGGCACATATATCCGACTGCCCTTCGTTAATGACAAGGTGGCTGCTCAGGTGAAGAAGGTTGCAATCAACTCTGGATTACCAGTGGAGATAGCATGGACCACCAACAACACCCTGAAGAAACGACTGGTCAAGACACGACTGAACCCAGCCCCCTGCCCCTCGGGACGAAGGTGCTGTCATTCATGCCAGGCGGGGCTACAGTCCAAGTGCACGACCAAAAACGTGGTATATGAACTTACCTGCAGTCACTGCGGCGACACCTACATCGGAGAAACGAGCAGGCCAGTTAGACTCCGCTACAACGAGCATCGGAGGAACGGGAAGAGGACACTCCCCTAGGAGAGCATCCGCTGCATAAGCACCCTGAGATGGATCGACGCGACATCTCGGTGACGGCCAAAATCCTGCGTGTATGCAAAGACGAAGCGGATAGAAGAATCGCTGAATCCATCTTCATCCGAGACGCCAGGCCCAAAATTAACGATAACACTACATCATGGCAGCTTCTTCCAAAATAATGTATATAAATGTGTGTGAATTGGTTCTTGAAAGATACCTATATATGTACTGCTAGTTTAACTGGGGAATTATGTGTAGATATATTTTTAAGGTAGGAACTAGGGTGATCAATTTGCACGGGATCTGTGTATTTAAATTTCTTACTGCGACATTACTGAAGAACTTGAGACGAATTCGACATTGTGTGCCTGTTATGTGTGTAAATAATTACAATCGACCGACGAAGAGCTGTGCTCGAAATATCTCGATTTTTAATACAGTAATTTATTTTGGCAATTTCATATTTCCATACAGAAGTGAGGATAAGGTCAGCCAGATGCGCATACTTCTCAGGACTAGGTTTGGTTTGATAATGGTTTGATTAGCAAACATCTCTGGGTATGGCACCTCTCCTTGAACAGGCAGCTGGCTGAAGACGTCCAGCTGTTGGACCAACAATGGTTCCAACAAGAACAAGACTGAGACTTGCCGCACACTGCTGTTGTGACAATAATGGCTGCGCATTGTGGAACCCATTCAGTTCGCAGATCATCTTTCGATGAGAGGTGCGGCCATCGTCCCCTTTTTCTCCGGATCTAACCCCATTTGATTTCTTTCTCTGGGGTCACCTGAAGTCACAAGTCTACCAAAGCGCCAGGACCACAGATGACCTCAAGCGGGCAGTGACGTCTGCCGTGTGTCGAGTGCGGCCGGAGACCTGCCGGGCTGCGGTGGAGTCCGCTCGGCGATGTGCAGAGCTGTGTGTGGAGCGAGAGGGCGCTCATCTGGAACACGTCCTCTGTGGCCGCAGATCAGAAGTCAGCACGAATCAGAATTCAGAGGTTACCACAGAAATTGGCATTGGCAATTGTGTATGTTAGAAAGTGGTTCATTTGTCTCGTGCCTTCCATGCTTGAAACATATGGCTTTGAAATAGGAATATTTATTTCAGAATTCCCGGTAGTAGATGTCTTGCAACGAATCTTATATCAGTATTACCTAATACCTATGTTAATATTTGAATTCCGAACCACACGAACTGCCCGAACCACACGAACTGCGCATATGAAATGAAAGTGTCAGCTTCCTTGTTCCTTAGTTCCCCCTATTCCATCGCACTTCCTCAGGACAGTTCAATCCTTCTCGGCACCTCAAATGTATATCATTGTATTTGACAAAATGACACAGTAAAATGGCTATTCAGAGTGATGTGTCAGAATTAAAGGGGAAACAAGTTAAAATGTAGGTACTCACGTCATCACATCACATCAGTCAGCAAACAAACCAAATCACGTATTCATCCCCCCCCCCCAAAAAAAACGCAGAACAGCTCAGAAACAAAGTGTTAAAAAGTTGTCCAGAATCCAGAGGCAGGTTTCTAAATTCGTTAGGCAGACGGTTGTACAATAATTGTGCGTTGCTGTAGAGTAGGCTTTGGTACCCTGGAGTCCGACAATGATAATATGACCAGCATTTGGGTAACAGTTTAGATGTACCACTATCTACTATTTGTGAGCTCTGATCTACAAATCATCCCATTCGTTTCAGGTAAAAGGCCTCGCCCGAAGAAAGTCGTATCCCCGTTTTGAATATGGGAAGAAAGAAGCCTCGCAAGAAGCCGACGGCAGCGGCGACGGCGGCCGCCCAGGCTGCGACGACGGCGGCCGGGGACGGCGCCACGGGTGGTGATTCTCCCGCCGCCTCAGAGCCGACACCTGCCCCAGCCCCGGCGCCAACTTCAGCTCCGGCGCCGGCCGCTGCACCTGCCGCAGCACCAGCCCCAGCCCCAGCACCGGCTGTAACACCGGCGCCGGCCGCAGCACCTGCTGCAACACTGGCACCGGCCGCAGCACCGGCGCCAAAGTCCTCTTCAACTCCAAGTTCATCGGGGACATCTACACCGGCATCTACGCCGAGGCCGACTCCGGCACCGACGCCCACGCCGACGGCACCACCCGGGCTGACTGTGGGTGCGGGCCGGGGCAGAGGCAGGGGTCGTGGCGCAGACCCGAGAGGCGCGAGAGCCCAGGACTCTCGGCCACAGGCGGCCCAGCAGCCCCAGTCGCCGCCGCCGCCGCAGCTGAAGTCACCTCCGCCGCAGCAGGGGGGTCCGGCCGGCGATGTTACACGGCAGATGGCTGCCATGTCCGTGGCGGAGACGAAAAAGGCCGCAGAGAGCGTGTTCCAGCCGGCGCCCTCGGAGAAGAGCATCTGCAAGCTGCAGCCACCCAAGAGCAAGGGCCCAGGGAGGATGGGTCGCCCGATAAAGCTGTTCACCAACCACTTCAACTTGAGTATCAAGTGCAGAGAAGTGTACCACTATGATGTAGAGTTCGAAAAGAGGATGCCGAAAACTGTGAAGCGCCGCATCTTCGATAAGGCAATGAAAGAGAACGCACAGTTTGGGAAGTACTTTCCTGTATTTGATGGCGAGAAGAATATGTACACGGCCCGTCAGCTGCCTCTGAAAGGCAAACAGGTGGAGATGACGGTGTCGTTCCAGGAGGCGGGCGACCTGGCTCGCGACTATAAGCTGACGGTGAAGGCGGCCGACCCGTGTCAGGTGGACATCGAGCCGCTGATGCAGTACCTGGTCGGCGGCAGCTCCAACAACACGCCGCAGGCGGCCGTGCTGGCGTTGGACATCGTGCTGCGCCACCTGCCCAGCCTGCGCTTCACACCGGTCGGCCGCTCCTTCTTCCCGGACCAGGGCGGCCGGACCATCGACATCGGCGGCGGCTGCGAGCTCTGGATCGGATACTTCTCCACCATCCGCTACGGCTGGAAACAGACGCGCGTCAACATCGACGTGGCCAACAAGGCCTTCCACAAGCCAATGCACGTCATGGATAAGATGTATGAGATCATCGGGGACCGCTTCAACCCTGCGCGAGGTCTGGATCAAATGCAGGTGCGAATAAACTAATGTAATACTTAAAAGTGTGAGTAGCTAGCGCTCTCCGCTGAGCCACATATCCTGAGCACGGTAGCTAGTGTCGGAAGGTGTCAGCACCATGGACGGATTGCTAGCTTTTTGGCTTTTTATAATTTCTTAGTTCAAACTAGTAATTGTACTTTACATAAACCAGCATCGTTGAAACTTTCTGTATGGTGAAAATTTATAATAAAGTTAAAGGAACGATTAAAGACACTGTAACAAGTTCTTAGTGAAATAATCATTTCCAGTCATGGTTGTCTAGGTCAGACACCACGTCTGCAGTAACATCATTCAAAACACATTTACCTAACTATATTTAGTTGGTTCAGCCTGGTTCAGCCTCACTGGCTGTCGGGGTGACTATTAGATTTGTGTGGAAGGGGGTACACGTTGTGCGCCCTGCTGACTGAGGTGACCTGTGCCCGGCCCTGACGTTTCGTCCGCCCTTTCGGTGTTACAGTTCCAGGAGGTGAACAAACAACTGGCCAACCTGAAGGTGGAGTACACACGAGGCAACCAGGGGAAGCGCTCCTACCGCATCAACAAGATGGTGCGCGACACGCCCAGAACGCACAAGTTCGACCACAATGGCAGGCAGGTGAGGCACCCAGTGTGCTTGTTAAGGCGACGCGAACGGGATTCCATAGTAAGCGAGGCCTGCTCATGCGTCACTTGATGACAGGTCGATGGCGGTTCGCTAGTAATTGTGTCCAAAATATTTAATATCAAGCTGTGTCCCGCCGCACGTCTCTGCCGTTGTGGGAGCCAGTAAGCGGGTTTCTCGAAGCGGTCACTCCGACCGGCGGCCGCCCCCTGTTGCAGATGACTGTGGAGCAGTTCTTCTCCAAGGAGTATGGTGTCCAGCTGCAGTACCCCAACCTGCCGTGCCTCTGGGTCGGCTCCAAGAACAAGAAGATTTACATCCCAGCGGAGGTTTGCACGGTGGTCAAGGGCCAGGTGAACAACCACAAGCTGAATCCAGACCAGGTGAGACTGCTGGCGCTACGTTTTGGCGTGCTACCACCCTCGGGTCCTAAACGTATTTGGTCCGCTGGTATTATAGCAATGGATCTACATTCTACAATCTACCTTTTTTATATATATCACTAGTTTGGCTGCCATTGAAGATTAATTACCCCTCTCTCCTGGCCCTTTGGCCGACATGGATAATACAAATGAGATGAAGTGTTCGGACTTAGAAAGTCCGTCATTTTCTCTGCAATCCCCTGTATCTCCCTTTAAGACAGATTTTCCTTGTCTGGGTCTGACTGAAACCAGTGGCTTAGAGTTAACGCAGGTAATAAACTTTGTTCGGTATTTTCGGAAATGTTATTTTCCTCACTACACCTTTTTGCATTTGAATTCAACCATTGGCATAACTGTTTGAGGAGCCATTTCGACAATCGGCATTGAGCACAACTATTCCTGCGTTGTGTGTTTCCTTTCAGCCATTCAGCAAAACCGATTGAACACTGAAATGAGCGATCTGCAAAACAGTTTGACACTTCGCCTTGACTTCGGCAATGAGCGAAATAGCTCGGCATTTGGTGATATCATTTCAGCAATGTTTAAAGCAGATTAAATGGACATCTAGGATAGTTTTTAAAATGGATTTAACACACATCGACCATATACCACTTGAGCATGACCACTATGGGCATTTCTAAGCAATAAGTCAGCCTTCGTTTAAGGTTCTTTCTAAATGAAACAGTACGGTAATTTTCATTCAAGCTTATATGCAGTGCGTTTAGCTAACCGACGAACAATGCCAATCAATAGTCACTGGACTGGCCAGACTTGCTACGTACCCCGAGCAGTTGGATGGGTCGTTTATTGGCCACGTATATAATCTGTGTGGTGGGAACTTCGGCGCTATCATGCACATCGCTGCTGGGTACGTCGATCACGACATAGTCCGGGCACCACTCCAAGAAAGTGGTCTTATAGACAGTTTGAAGATGGTTTTGGCAAGCAACTGTCAGGCCTCGCGGCGCCTGTTAAGACTACTAACCTCCTGAGTGCTGATTACGAGTGTGTGTGGGTGGGTGGGGGGGGGGGGTATGTATCTTTTTTGTCGCATGACGATGCTGAATAAACAATAATAATAATAATAATGCAGCTGAAATACTTGGTTGAAAATAACTTTTGACCTCATTTTAGCTAACAAAAAAGTAGTTCCCTTGGCGTTTTTTTTTTTTTTTTTTTGCTTGCATTGTGTTTATGCATACAGCTGAATTCAATACGTTCAATACTGGCATTGTCCATGCATTGAAGTCATTTCCGTCAATGCACCATACCATTCCAACATAGCACGCCTGGCTAGTGCTACGTTGGTTGTTGTGCACTTCCTTACAAAAAACTCAATTAATTCGCCTATTCAAAGATGAGTTTTTTTTTGTGCATCGAATATTAAACAAACTGTCCTAAAGGCGGAAGCTGACGGACACCATGCACATGTGCCATGACGGTCGCCTTCGCATTCCCGAACTTTTGATGAGGGCAATTTTTGTCAATTTATGAGGCCGATCTCATTTCGAGCCCCAGGGCAATACCGTTCACCTGACTAGAATGAGCACAGTGTGTTGTTTACCTGTTTGGTGTGGGAATTCCGCCCCCAAAGATTTATGGTGACTTCCCGGGCTCAGCGGATCGCACGCTAGGTGTGACGGCTGAGGCCGGTCTCGTCCAATAAACACTCACCGGCCGCCACGTCCTTAATCCATCATCCACTCAGTTATATGAGGGAAATGGCAAGGATTGAGCCCCATGCCCCCTGCGGCCGGCAGTGCACGCGATAAATTGTTTTGTTCATGGCTTATCTGTTTTTCTGAATGCCGAAATATACATAGACGGTTTTGGCCAAACGTGAATTCTCGGCGGTTCAATGACGAACAGTTTTGACCATTGACGATCTATTTTGCACAATGCGGAACTTTCGCTCAATGTTGAGTTGTATAGGAGGACCCCCGAATAGTTTTGCACAATGGTGATTCTGTGTGACCAACCGCCCATTTGCAGTGCAATCTATATGGCGAATGTGTACAAATGTTTTGCCCAATGGTCAACAACTAACGCAAAAAGGTGTAGTGCCTATTATCAATGTCGTACCTGAACCATTCCACACTGACAGGTCTTAGAAGGAATTGGTGTATGTTTGATAAGTGTCGGTGCTCTGTATCTATTGACCTGACCTTCGTGCTGGTATGTATGTACATGCTCAATAGCGAGCCTGTTGCGGGTCTCTCGTGACTAGCTGTTCTTTGTTCAGGTGTCTGCAATGATCAAGACCACGGCCGCCCCGGCAGACGTCCGTCTGAACCGCATCAGGGAGTTCGTGCGCCAGGCCGACTTCAACCGGGACCCACACAACCGCGAGTTCGGCCTTCAGGTGGCCGACACGTACGTTCTCATCAACGGTCCGGCTTTTTCCCGGTTGTGCTGCGTTAAGCCCTCGTCCACACCTGCGATTTCCCATCTGGATTTGGTTCATCTTTGTCAGTTTTTATGGACCTGATGATGATCTCACGCATGGCACGGATGGTTCCATTGCGAGCCCATTTTCAATTAGCACATGGCACCTGTAAAAATACATGGCACCTGTACATGTTCTTCACGTAGAGTATAAGATCTTATTCATGCGTCTGCACGGTCATGACTTACGATCCCGACCTTACAGGCCGACAGAGGTGACTGGTCGCATTCTGCCGGCGCCGACCCTGCTCTACAACAACCAGGGCAAAGTGCAGCCGCGCGATGGCGTCTGGGACCTGCGCGGCAGCCGATTTCTGGACCCGCACCACCTGGAGCGCTGGGTGGTGCTCGACTACGCGCGCACCTACAACGACAAGCTGCAGAACTTCTTGCGCGGCCTGGCCGACTCGGGACGCCAGGTGGGTATGAATATCGCCCAGCCGGTTGGCGTGGTACAGAGGGACGGTCGCTTCCCGGAGCGCGTGGACGCCGTCCGCGACCTGAGCGAGATCAAGAAGCAGTACAACTCGCCGCAGCTGGTGCTGGTCATCCTGCCGGCCAAGAACAAGCTGTACAGCGCCGTGAAGGGCGCCGGGGACGTGGTGGTCGGTCAGCTGACCTCGTGCGTCCTTTCCAAGACGGTGTTCAGGGGAGATCGGCAGACAGCCACCAACATCTGCCAGAAAATCAACGCCAAAATGGGTGGCTCCAACAACGGCCTGCACGAGAGCACTCGGCCGCCGATGCTGCGCGTGCCGACCATCGTGTTTGGAGCGGATGTGACCCACCCGGCCCCGGACCAGAAGAACAAGCCCAGCATCGCCGCCGTGGTGGCCAGCATGGACGCCTCGTTCCACGCGCGCTACGGGCACCGCGTGCTGGTGCAGTACCCGCAGGAGGGCCAGGGGGCCCAAGAACTGATCGCCGACCTCGGCACCGCTGTAAAAGAGCTGCTGATCGAGTTCTACAAGATGAACAACCGAGTCAAGCCACAGCAGATAGTCTTCTTCCGTGATGGAGTGAGCGAGGGCCAATTCCTGCAGGTCATCCAGCATGAGCTGGAACAGATTAAGGAGGCGTGCAGAAAGCTGGAGGCCAACTACCAGCCCAAGATCACGCTGCTGGTCGTGCAGAAGCGTCACCACACGCGCCTGTTTGCGCAGGACCTGCGCGAGGCCAAGGGCAAGTCGAAGAACGTGCCTCCGGGCACGGTGGTGGACTCTGTGATCGCACACCCCACCGAGCTGGACTACTTCCTGGTCAGCCACCAGGGCATCCAGGTGAGCTCCTGGGCGGCGGGAGCCCTCCCCAACTCCACCGATATTGGGTACAGCTAACTGCGCCCGCTCAGATTAATGACTTTTGAGAACACGCCGCTGGAAATTGTTATGCCATTCTTTAGCACTTAGCTACTTATTAACTACAAGTCATGACAGGTCTGGGCGGAAGTTTTATTTGCCATAGAAGCCAGTTATTTGATTTGCCAGTTAAATTCTGCCTTGGAACCGGAATTGCGCGATCGGATGGTAAGAAGGCAGGGTCAATGCAACAAGCTTCGCTTAGCTGGGGCGCTGTCTTTGTAATCCTTCCATTCAAAAGGTTCGGACTAAATTCCTCAAAGAAAAAAGCTTCTGTGACCATGTGCTGGGCTTTTCCGTATTGCTTTTTTTTTGCTCATTCCGTGACTTAGGCGAGATAACAAGGTAGGTATGATCCATAAAGCGAACTTTGATTAATGCATGTTCATTCACCTACCGAAAGATCTCGTCTTGTTTTTGTCCAACAAGCCCCTCCCAGACAATGAAACCACATTTTCCAGATATTTGTTGACATATTCATGCATTTCTTGCCAATTTGTGTCATTGCGGAGGGTTAACGTAGTGTGTCTGCCATTTTTCCTATGCCGTGACATGGTTTTCTTCTTCGGCACAGGGCACCAGTCGACCGACCCACTACCACATTCTTCACGACGACAGCAACTTTACGGCCGACGAGCTGGAGATCCTTACCTACTACATGTGCCACCTGTTCTCGCGCTGCACGCGCTCCGTGAGCAACCCGGCGCCCTCCTACTACGCCCACCTGGCCGCCTTCCGGGCGCGTGCGCACCACGACAACTTCTTGGCCGTCAACAACATCGCCGAGGACCGCCGGCCGTCGCTCGCGGACGCCCAGAGAGCCTGCACACCGCGGACGGTGCCCATGTACTACGTGTAGAGGCCCCGGGGCACGGCCGGCGCGGGCTGCCGGCGCAGTAGCCACAGCCGCCCGGCTCCTGTAGGCTAGCGGCTGGTGACTGCCGGATCGCACTGCCAGGCTTAGTGGGTGGTGGCTTTAGCTTTTGTAGTGCGCTCTTGGCAGCTATCACAGACAGAGGTTCTCAAGTATTTAATTATCTGTTTAGAGGGCTTTTTACTTTTCTTGCTGCTTTGGTAAACAGGATCCTATGGCAAGAGGTATGAATAATATGTAATCCTGCTTACATAGTGTAAAAGCGTTACGTTTACACACAGCATCAGTAATTTCTAAGCACCCGGTTGAGACGCGCCAAATTCATCTGATTGCCTAGTCCCGTCCCAGCTGGCGGGACGCCGAACTGATTTCGTCTCCGCGGGGTGCTGCCCTCGCACGCCCCGGAGGACGCGAGTGACGACCACTGGCTGCACGCTCATGGCTGGGCCATGACGTGCGCGCTGCACGGACTCCGCGGGCCGTCCGGCGGTGCGCCGGCCGGGCGGCCTCTGCGCCGCGCGCGCTGGCTATCTGAGGAGCGCCGCGCCAACGGTGCCCCGCGCTCTGTCGGCGGGTTGGCGCCGCGCTCCGAATTTCCGGCAGCCGGGCGCCGCCGGTAGGCAGCCGCCGCCGTACCGGCGCCCGGCCGCGTGGTCGTGGGTTGAGAATCGGGCGTCCGCTGTTGCACGATCAGCTTCTGTGTGCGTCTGTCGCTCTTCATAGGTTTGTGAACTGATTTTTTCCCTGCTGGCTTTCTGGATCAAATACACGAGCTCTACGTGGTGATGTTTTTTTTTTTTAACAAGAGTGGACTGGTCAGGACTTTTAGCCCCTGCCGCTATTTTTAGACACGAGTGCACTGTGATGTGGTGTTCCCGTGTGTCATGTTTATATTGCTTGCTGGTCAACATGCGTTGATCATGGGTGGAATTTTTTTCTCACTGAACTACGAACAGAGTAAAACAGGCAAGCTGCCATATAAAAGTTATCGTAATAACGCCGTATCCGCGTCTCGCTTATATACTACGAAGGCGCTAGGCTAGTGCTCATTTGGAATCCTAATTTTTCCATCGCAGTCCGTGTTAAACTTCTTTACTTGATATCCACTCACTAGGCGACATTGGGATGAGTGCTGGAACCCGTTACCCGATCCCAAGGACCTATTATATACCCTCCGATCCGATCAACGAGCAGCTCTTGAAACAGTGAATCTAACTTCCGTGTGTCATAGAACCTCTCAGTTATGAATGTCACATGGCTTGAAATTTGGCGAAAATTTGTGGAGCGAAACAACATGTATTTGCAGGAACGTCAGCATCTGACCGAAGGAATTCTCTCTCATTGGAAAATACTTCACCGTATGAAGGAGTCATATGGAAGCATTTGGCTGGCTCTGCGATTTGGTAGCAGACAGCAGTTCAGGCAGATTGCGTTCGAGCCTCGTCGGAGGTGGTGGTGCGTCGTTTCGTTTTGGGGTCGCGGGCGTTGTCATTTCAGCAGTTCGTGCCTGGTGGATATGAAATAATCTTGCATCTGCAATGGAGTTCATCAACGTTGTTTTCAATGCAGCTCGGGATGGGAAGCTCCGCAGATTGAAGGTAGGAACGTTGGTTGTGGTGTTGGCCTTTGTTCTCTTGTCTCAGTCTCTGTTTCGTCGCAATCGTAACTGCAATGGGATGTTGCTTGCTGACAGCATATTTAAGTACTCTATGCATTTCTTTAATCTTTATAGTTGCTGTATCACAATTTTGATTTTAAATGGAAATACTGTTGGTTGGGCAGTGGGCTCCTGGCATAATGATATCAATAGGGATACTAAATTAGGCTGTCAGCGTGGCTGGCAGGCAAGGCTATATAAAGCTGGCAGGTGTGCGCACTTAAGATCAAGCTACGACCATGCACAAAATTATTTGAGTGTTTTGCAGATCCATGATTGTGGGACTTCCTTGATAACAGTTTCTGCATTTTTTCCAGAATTTCTGTGAATTACCATACGCAGACGTATGCATTAAAACAATCAAATGCAATCTGAGTAACTGAACAAGCTTGCCTTTACATTAACTTATTTAATATTAAGAATATTCATTTTTTTCAATAAAATGTCAATAAAGCATGTAAAATTAAATCAATTATAGTTTACATCACAGTTGGGGGAGGTTTGGTCAATGGTTGTCATTTTTAGCACATGCCATTTTTGGCAACCATGTGCTAAAAATGACAACGCTATCAGCTATTTTTAGCAACGATGAAGCCGATTTCACTCCTCAGCGAGGAAATCACGATTTTGGAAATACAAGCACTGATTTTGGAAAAGAAGTGCTGCCACCTGGTGCAAGAAGAAGAAACCGGCTTTAATATGGCCGTTGTTTGTATGGTAGTCCAACGTTGAAGTATACCCTTTTTTGTGGCCCGAAGTTGGAACTTTAAATTGAAGCATCCGAAAATGATCGATATTGATCGAAATCCGTAACCGGACAAATCTTCGTATGGCAATTCTTCGTCGCGCAATTCCTCGTCCGCATTTCTTCGTCCGCAAATCTTCGTCGGCGCATTTATTCGTGTCGCATAACTTCGTCTCGCATTTCTTCGTAAGCGCAAATATTCGTAGCGCATTTTTTCGTATCCGCATTTCTTCGTACGTGCATTTCTTCGTCAAGCATTTTTTCGTCCACGCATTTCTTCGTCTACGCAAATCTTCGTCCGCATTTCTTCGTCCACGCAAATCTTCGTCTGCGCATATCTTCGTCCGCAAATCTTCGTCCCCGCAAATCTTCGTCCGCAAATCTTCGTCCGCATTTTTTCGTCCACGCATTTCTTCGTCTACGCAAATCTTCGTCCGCATTTCTTCGTCCACGCAAATCTTCGTCCCGGCAAATCTTCGTCCGCAAATCTTCGTCCGCAAAACTTCGTCCGCAAATCTTCGTCCGCAAATCTTCGTCCGCATTTTTCGTCCACGCATTTCTTCGTCCACGCAAATCTTCGTCCGCAAATCTTTGTCTGCGCATATTTTCGTCCGCAAACCTCTGTCTCCGCTATCTTCGTCTCCGCAAACATTCGTCCACAAATGTGGTTCAATAAAACCATGAAGAAATATCAGACCATCAAGTGATTGACGAATTTAATGCATGGAATGGATGGTCGAAACTTTTGAAGTCAGGTAGATGAGGTCTGTCAGGTGAAGCTATTGTATTTGGGAGCCGAGAATCGAAACATTCCATATCATTTGTGTCCCGGACATTCTTTTTTCGCGGTCGATGAATGACAATATAATCTCTTGTACCCTCTGATATGTATAACTGTGCGGGGTCGTCTACGCAGCGCTGGGGGGCGCCGGGGGTGTGTGAGCGTGGGAGTCGGGCAATAGAGCTCAGAGCTGAAAGGTGTGTTTTGCCGGGCTGGTGGTGATCTACGGACAGATCAAGTGGCGACGAGGCTGAGACCGTTCTCGCCTTGCCTGTGACCGGTGGTGGAACCACCATGGCGTCGGCCCTTATCGGGAGCGTCGGTGAGTACGGCGACGACGGCTCGGACTTTAACGAGTACCTAGAGCGTTTTGAGCAGTTTTTGGCTGCTAATGCGATCTCGTCAGCGACAAGGAAACGTGCGGTGTTTCTGAGCGTCTGTGGTCCCAAAGTGTATTCAACTCTGCGCAGCATTTTCGCGCCTGATCTGCCAGAAAACTTTCGAAGAGTTGGCGGAGGCAGCGCAGCGGCATTTCGCTCCGAGACCGGCTATAATTGTGTCACGGTACCGGTTCAACCGTACCACGCAGCAAGCCGGACAAACAGTTGGAGCGTTTTTGGCAGAGCTGCGGCGCATTGCCAGAGACTGTGCCTACGGAGACCGCCTAACTGAGCAGCTTCGGGACCGGTTCGTGTGTGGGATAAGTAACCCGGGAATGCTGAAGCGGCTACTGCAGGAAGGTGACAATCTGTCGCTCGAACTGGCTGTCAAGATAGCGACTGCGATGGAGACAGCAGCCGCTGACCTGCAGGATATCGCCTCATCGGCAGCCCCGCTGGCAGGCACAGCAGTGACCGGCCCGGACCCGCTGCACGCAGTCTCCGCTGTCGCGCCTGCCGCTGCCGCGGGGTCAGCCGCGGGAGGGCTGAGGCGACGACCCCGCGCATTTCATACACGCACACGCCGGCCGGCCGAGACGGCGGCCAGTGCTGGCAGCTTGCCAAGCCAAGTGATTCAGCCGGTGGTTTACCGTGCAGCCGCTGTGGCAGGCGCAGTCACCAGGCCGAGGAGTGTCCCCATAGGCGTGCGACGTGCTACGGCTGTGGCAAAGTGGGCCATCTCAGGAACGTCTGCCGAGCGGTACACACGGTACTGGCAGACGACACGGAGCCGGATGGCGACATGTATCAAGTAAACGCCACAAATACTCCACACCGGGTTCCTGCCTACAGGACGACGGTGGATGTCAATGGAAGGCCGCTTGTGTTCGAAGTCGACACTGGAGCGAGCCGAACGATCATCAGCGAATCTGTGTGGCGCTCAGAGCTGAAGAGCACCCCTCTGGAGCCGGGTCAAGTGGCGCTAACCACTTACACTGGAGATGCACTGCCGGTGCGCGGTCAGCTGACTGCACACGTCTCGTGCGGCGGCCAGCAGACCACACTGACTCTGCTCGTGGTTCGGGGTGACGGCCCGTCACTTCTCGGCCGGGACTGGCTGGCCAAGCTGCGGCTACCGTGGAACGACATATTCAGTATCGCAGCACCCCTGTGGGATCTGCAGCAGCAGTACAGGGCGCTGTTCCAGGACGACGGTGGCACCTGCAAGCAGACTGTGAGTTTGGATATCGATCCGTCGGTCTCGCCCAAGTTTTACAAGCCTCGGCCCGTCCCTCTTGCGCTGCAACCGCTGGTGAATGCGGAGCTGGACAAACAGATCGAACGGGGAATTCTACGACCCGTTAAGACAGCGGAGTGGGCAGCGCCGGTCGTCACAGTGCTAAAGAATGACAAGAGTTCGGTGCGTATGTGCGGTAGCTATGATCTTACCGTTAACAAAGCCTCACGGGTGGAGCAGTATCCGCTCCCTCGAATCGACGAGCTGCTTACAAAGTTGGCCGGAGGCCAAAAGTTCACGCGCCTGGATCTCAAGGAAGCGTACCTGCTGGTGCCCCTGGATGAACAAAGTCAGCGCTACACCGTTATCAACACTCACCGAGGCCTGATGGCAGCCACACGCCTGGTCTATGGAATAGCATCAGCTCCAGCGGCGTTCCAGCGCATGATGGAGCAGCTGCTGGCCGGCTTGCCGCACGTGGCCGTGTTCCTCGATGATGTGTGCATCACGGGCCGCAACGATACGGAGCACCGGCGCAATGTGGACGCGGTGCTGCGGCGTCTGCTAGACGCTGGTCTACGGCTCAACCCGAGCAAGTGTCAGTGGATGGCCAAGGAAGTTGAGTACCTGGGGTACCGGGTGGATTGTAACGGCATCCACCCCACAGCAGCCAAAGTGACGGCGATCGTGGAGGCACCGCGACCGGCGAACGTAAAACAGCTGAAGGCGTATCTCGGCCTGCTCATGTATTATTCAAAGTTCATGAACAATCTGGCCTCCGTGGCGGCGCCGCTCTACCGCCTCCTGAAGACGGGTCAGCCGTGGCGCTGGGGTCGGGCGGAGGACACGGCGTTCGCTCGCACCAAACAGCTGCTGGTGCAAGCGCCCTGCCTCGCTCACTATGACGGGACCCTGCCGCTCGTGCTGTCGGTGGATGCCAGCCCCTACGGGCTCGGGGCAGTGCTGTCCGAAGTGGACTGTTCCGGAATGGAACGGCCAGTGGCGTATGCATCGCGGAGCCTGGCAGCAGCAGAAACCAACTACAGTCAACTGGACAAAGAAGGACTGGCGGTGGTCTTTGGAGTAAAAAAGTTTCACCAGTTCTTGTGCGGTCGGCACTTCACTGTGCAGACGGACCACAAACCTCTCCTGGGTCTGCTAAGCAGCGACAAGCCTCTGCCGCTGATGGTATCGCCCAGAGTGGCCAGGTGGCGACTCGCGCTGCAAGCGTACCAGTACAAGCTGGTGTACGCCCCCTCGGCACGGCAGGCTCACAGCGACGGACTGAGCCGCCTGCCCCTGGCAGTGTGCCCTGCTAGTGTTCTAGACCCCGGGGACATTGTCTGTCTTCTTGAGTCGGTGGACCAGATGATCCGCATCGAGCAGATCCGTCGACGCACGAACTGTGACCCCGTTTTGTCGCGCGCATATCAGGCGGTGATGAACGGTCGTTGGACGGAGCCAGTGGATGAGGAACTTCAACCGTTCTATCGGCGTCGCCTCGAACTCAGTGCTCAAAATGGAGTGGTCCTGTGGGGTATCAGAATCGTGTTGCCCACGGCCCTTCGGAAGCAGTGGCTCTCGCTTCTGCACGAAGGCCACCCTGGAGTGGTGGCCATGAAAGCAAAGGCTCGCGCCCACGCGTGGTGGCCGGGCATGGACGCAGCTATCGAGTCGACGGTCGAGAGCTGTCAGGCCTGTCAGCTGAGCCGGCCGCGGGCACCTCCGGTGTCTGAGAGTCCGTGGCCGTACCCGGATGCGCCCTGGGACCGCCTGCACTTGGACTATGCGGGGCCAG